TTTTTTTCTTTCCAGGGCTCCAATTACCCACGTCTGTTTTGGGGCGCCTTTGCTCCTGATGTGGTATAGCTTCTCCTCCCTCCCCCCCCCCCTCTCTCCTCTAGTACCAGTATATGTGACTCCCTCTTGTTGTCATTTTGGATAAAAAATTGATTTATAATGTGTGTCAGTTTTTAGAACAAAAGATGATATTTACTGATTTTTTTTTTTCAAATTTCCCATCTGGTGTAAGATAGTAAAGTTTTATCTGTTTGATAACACTTCAATCTACTTGATTTCTTCCAACATGAAACTTATTTTAAACCAGAGGCCAGAGGTTTTATATGCTGATTCTCAAAATCTGCCAAATTTTTATTTGTTGAGTAATTCAGATTATTCGTCAAGTTTCATGTGGAGCTGTTCATGTTGTGGTTCTATCAGAGGATGGTGTAATGCAAGCATGGGGTAAGTGGGAAATTTCTATCATGTTTTTTTTCTTTTCCCCTTTTCTGTAGTTTGTCCTTTGTGACTAATCAGACTAGATAAAACTCAGTATTCACGGGGTGCAGTCTAACTTTTTTTCTCAATTGGTTTGACAATTTGAGAATGGAAACTTCAACTAACAAACTCTGGTAAAGGGGAAGTATTAATTAGAACTCTTACTGCTTCGGCAAACCAGGCTATAATGAATATGGTCAGCTTGGCAGAGGTGTTACAAGCGAAGGCCTTCAAGGGCCTCGTGTGATTAGTGGATTTGCTAAATTTCTCGATGAAGCCCCTGAGATTGTAAAGATTACACAAGTGTCATGCGGGGAGTACCACTCTGCAGCCATATCAGAAGATGGCGAGGTGTAAGTGTTCATAGGACCTTTCTTGTTGACGATAAGTGATATGCACAAGAGTTTCTGCATGACACAAGGGGAGTTACATAGAAGATTAGAAAACTAATTGACATCTAACCACAATATATTCCTTATTCCCGAGACATTAATTTTCATTCTTTAACCCAAACCTATGTTTTAGACATTTTTTATTCATGCTTCATAGTCTTGCTGTTATCAGCCTAAAATGAGTACCGTGTGACTCATTTCTTGTTCTAATGTCTTATTTTTTTCCTTTATTAAAGATCTGTGTTATGGACGAGTTCAATGATGGTATCTGGCATCTGAACTCATCATTTCCTGATACTTTCTGTGGATATAATCTTTGGGGTCATTAAGGAACCCAGAAAAGAAAATGTGGAGGAAAATTGGAAGGAAATAAAATTTGGTAGAAAAAAGTAGCTGCTCAAACTCAATACAACAATTATAGACATAAAATTTTAATTAGTTATAATCAGATATGATTTTTGTTAGTATAGCACAAGGAAAAATCAAACACAAAATAAATGTCCTTAACATTTTTTCCATTTCATTATGTTCCTGGTTCCAAGAACAAGCTTTGAAGATGTCAAAGCTGGAATTTTATCTTATTATTCCTTGGTAATTAAGTTACGATAGGAAGGACACTTAGAACAAAACTTCGTCACTATGTGTTTTGGTATGAATTCATGGTGCTAACTATCTTAGAGACAATTAGTTGTCTATAAATATCCTGCCACCAATACCAACATAGTTGGCATAATACTGTTGGTGTTGTTCTCAGCCATGATGATGACATCAAATGTTCCCCTATTCACTGGCCAGGAACCACATTGAGCTTGGACTAATCTTGAATCAAGAGGTCGAGTTACTGTTGAATCCCATTTACTTGAATAGCTGATAATGATTTAATATTAACATAAGATACACCAACCCCTATCATTGAAGAAGAGGAAATATGACCACACACAAAAGAGTTTCTTATTTTATTTTATTTGTATTTTGGATTGAGAAGTGTGAGGAAGAAAAAGAAAAGATGGAAAGGTAAAAATACAACATTTCATACAATTATATATTTACTGTAGATATGCTTGATATAAGGTTCACAATGGAAGTCATTGGTGGTAGCATAGCATAAAATTATTTTTTTAAATGGGTGACTGAGTTTTTTTCTGTAGTTTGTCATGCCGATCTTTCATAAACTAATCTGCCTGGCTTAGAATATTGAGATGCCAACAACAACAACAAACCTAAGGATATTGTTTTGTTAAACTCTTGATGCATTGTTGCATTTACTAACCAAAAGGTACAACCTTATAAATTTTGGTAAAGTGTAACAGCTACAAACAATTAATCCTGCTGATATGTTTTAAAATTTATTTGATTCTTTAACTAGGTTGATCATATCTAACTTGTGTGTACCTCAAAATTACATGAAAATGAGCTCTGTTTGGTGAAGAGGCCTCCTTTTTTAAAAGAAAAAGTTGTTTAGCGCAAGATTCGTTTTTTTTTTGTGTGTTGGAGGAGAGTAGTTCCTTCTAACTTTTTTTTCATGTGGCGCCTCTTGTATATTTGATATTTATTCAAGAATTGACAGCTCCTGTTTATCACCCATTATGTATCACAATAATAGCATAAACTTCTCATGCCGTGGACTACAAGAATTTTTCTTACATTGTCTGGCGTAGTTTAGACTTTGGACTGCATAGAATATGCTTTGTGGCAAAGTACTCATGTTTTTCCCGAAGTTCTATTTACACAGAAATGAACGTTGGATCTACCTAGTTTTGTTTCTTCAATTGTTGCATGCTTTCATATACAGATTCTTCTGGTTCTGAATTTCTAATGGCTTAATCTAATGTTACAGCTACACCTGGGGACTAGGAAATGTGGGCCAGCTAGGTCATTGCTCCCTCCAATCAGGTGATAAGGAACTTCTACCTAGGCGGGTGGTTTCCCTTGATGGTGTATTCATCAAGGACATTTCATGTGGTGGTGTCCACACATGTGCTCTGACTACCAAAGGGGCTCTTTATACCTGGGGTGGAGGTCAGGCTGGGCAGTTGGGCCTTGGGCCAGTCTCGGGCTTCTTCTCTTGCAAACTCGACGAGTCAGAAATGATGCTTAGGAATATACCCGCTCTGGTCATCCCGTCTGGTGTGCAACTTGTTGCATGTGGACATTCTCACACATTGATTTTTACAAAGGATGGAAGAATTCAAGGATGGGGCTACAATAGCTACGGCCAAGCGGCTAATGATAAATCTACATATGCTTGGTATCCTTCTCCTGTTGATTGGTATGACACCTGCTTAAGCTATTTGCTTCTACTCAACAATTATTGATAAGTTATTTTTATTTTTGTCTAAATTTGAGCATTGGTGGTGCGCAGGTGTGTAGGAGAAGTCAGGAAGCTGGCAGCTGGCGGGGGCCATTCTGCAGTGCTGACAGATGCGTGTTCATTGAAGGAGTTGTGCGAGTTTCGCCTGGCTGAAATTGTGAATCTTGCCAATGCTTATGAAATTGAGGATGTTGCATCAAGAACAGGGTGCGACTCGCTAGCTCGCCTTTGCAAAAGATTAAGGTATTGGTTTCATACGGAACATTGCATTTGCCTTGACTCTATGAGTGAAAAGTATGCAATGCTTTTTAGTTTTACCGCGCTTTAACAATTTTAATTTAGATTTTTTTTTGCATACGTTCTACAACAAACCCAGTAAAGTCTCATACCCCAAAGATTGCAAGTCCTACACAAGGGCATAACACTATCCAAACCCTAATCCTAGACGTCCTTCCTATCTAGGGCCATATTCAGAAGCTCATATCTAAGGCCATATCCTCGCGAACCCGTTCATGAAGAACACCCTTGGATGGTAACCCATTCTCTTGAAGGGTGTGATTTCTGCATACCCGATGAATTTATCAGCTCTTAATATTTCTTTGCGCAGGGAGCATATGCTTGATGGGGATAGTGATCATTGCTTCGCCGATGAAGAGCTTGATCTGTGAAGCAGCCTGACCCACAATGACACAATGTAGAATTATTGTTTGTTGAAAATTATACGTACAGTTGATTGTATATTTACAGCATATTCTCATGGCATGTTTCTTAGACAAAGAAAGTGAAGAACTTTGTGCTTTCAAAGCTAAAGACTTGATTGGTTGTAAATGTTGCAGGATGAATAAAGTTTGGTCTTTAATTACTTCTTGGAATTGTATTTCAACCCCTAAAATGTAGGGATAACTCAACTAGTCAACTCTAAAGAGTGTGTTTGGATTGGTCATTGTTTGGGAGGGAAGAGGAAAGCCACATGGGTGAAGGACCCCCAGCCTTCAAAGAGGCCAATCCCCCAAGGTAAGAGAGCTCATGTGGGCTGACCCAAGAGTCTCATACGATCCATACCCAGCCCATGCGGTAGCGCGCCTGATCAAAGTGCGGGCTGGGCCGGGTTTCGGGCCGGGCCGAGACACTACTTTACGAGAATTTTCTAGGCCCGAGCCCGGCCCGGCCCGGCCCGTATAACGGGCCTAACAATTGAAGCCCGAGCCTGGCCCGCATGGTTACCCGCGACCGACAAAAACTTTTAAATAATTTAAAAAATAATTTTTTTTAAAAAAAATAAAGTAACAAGTTAATATACTCCCTCCGTTTCTCAAAAGAGTTCCTCTTTTGACTTTGGGGGGAAATAAGGAAGTGTTAAATTGTAGTTGACTTTTCAATTTTGCCCTTGATGTGATGGATAAAAGTAAGATGTGATAGTTTAGTTGTTAGTGAAAAAAGATGATGTGATAGGTAGGGTATGAAAAAGTAGGGGTAAAAGTGGTTTTTTAATAGAAAAGGGAAGTGTTTTAAGAAAAACAAAAAAAATAAAAGAGGAAGGGTTTTAAGAAATCGAGGGAGTATTAGATATATGATATAAAGACTATTATGAGTAATGAAAGAAAAATTAATATATAAATATATTTTGTTTGATATTGCTACTATGTATGGAGTACAAAATATTATCTATTGAAATGTCATAATCAATGTGTGATACGTTGCAAACAATACGGAGTAGTAAAGATGTATTCATTTTATTATATAAACTTATAGTTTATTTTTTCTCTCCATAGATGTATGTGTGTTTATAATAATTTGAAATAGGTTTGTTCTTTATTATTATTATAAATGTTGTTATTGTTATTTTATTATTAGTATATTAATAATAAATTCTCCCTCCGTCCCATTGTCTTTGTCCACTTACCTTTTGGCACACCATCCAATGCACTTCTTTAATCCATTTTATCTTGTAATTTGTATATTAAAAAATTATAGAAATTATATATTAATAATCTATATGTTAAGACAAATCAAACAAGATCACACATGACTATTTTTAGGCTTACATATTGAGAGAATTTGATGAGTCAAAGTGCTTAGATGAACAGTTCCAAAAGTCAAAAGTGGACAAAGACAGTGGGACGGAGGTAGTATTTTAATTTATTCGGGCCGGGCCGGCCCGTGGGCTTGAGCATAAACCCGAGCCCGGCCCTAAAATGTTCGGGCCGCCATTTATAAGGCCCAAGCTCGGCCCGTACCCTAAAATGTCAAGCCCAAGCCCGCTATTTTGAGGGCGGGCTTTTGCGGGCGGGCCGGATACCCAGGCCCGTGATCAAGTCTAGGTAGCGGTGATCGTCCACGAAAACTCCCGGATCGAGGTCATCCAAATGTCATAGTGTGTTGCAACAAATGATTACAATAAATAAATAAGAAAAGGCAGATTATATGGTACAGTTGGATGTACCTTCTTTTTTGGTATGCCATAATAAATTTGTAATTAAAAGAATTTCATGTTGTTTCAAAATGAATACTATGTTATTTCAAAATGAAAATCATGTTGAGCATGCTTTAGAAGAATGTACCTAGTTCTATATATAGTCAGGTATACGGTATACATTCTCATAAGAAAAATAAAAATGGAAAAATAAGAGTTATAGGGAATTTAGGGATTAGGGAGCATCATTTTTTTTTGAAACAAACAACTCCTATTTCTCTTTCAAAAAAAAGAAAACAACTCAAACTTCAAATTTAGAAATTACTCCGTACTAAATTAGTCATAAGCAAAAAAGTCACAAGCCTAACATTTTTTAATTCATTAAAAGAATAAAATGATTTCAAATAACAAAAAATGTAAAAACTAGAATTAACAAATGATAAATTTATAATGTTAGTGATTCTAACACTTTTTTTCCTGAAATTAACAAAAAATCTAAAATGAAAGTAACAAAAGAATTTTTTAAAGGTAAAAATGTTAGCGCCCCATCTATTCTGTCATCGTGCCTGCGATCGGATTGCATAAAGGTGGAAAGCACGGTGCCCGTCATCATTTCTAATGAGCTACAACGCAAAATAAGTATATTGAAACGTGACAAAATAGAAACACAGGGTCGTTGTAGTATAGTGGTAAGTATTCCCGCCTGTCACGCGGGTGACCCGGGTTCGATCCCCGGCAACGGCGAAACTGCGTTTTCTTTTTCCAACCGTTCTTTCATTCAATTGCGCAATCTCGTCCTACAATATGTTTATTCAACTGCATCCGCCTTATTCCGGCGCAATTTTTTAAAACATTTAAATACCGAGTATTAATTCCTTTCTTTTACTCCTTATTTTTTTTTGGACATTTTTGCATACGGCGTATTATTGTTTACAAAACGAATACTCCTCCCGTCTCACAAAACTTTTCTTCTTTCTTTTTTCATCTTTTTTGGGAAATAGATGAGAATTATTAGTGATGCTCTTAATTGGACAACTTTTTCTCCTCGAGAGGGAGAAACATTTTTATTGGTCCATTACATTTATATATTTTTTTCTTCGACACCAAGAGGAAGATACCATGTAAAAAAAGATATTGAGAAAAAAGTAGAAGAATGATTAGAGTGCTATAAGAAAAAATTGATGGAAAAAATGATGTGACATTGAAAATTGATGACGTGAGAGGAGAACAGATATGCATGAATAATAATGGTCTAAGGATATTTACGTTGTTTTTTTTAGCTCTTTTACAAAATGCGTGAAAAATCAAATTGGGAAAAATATGATTGTGTTGGACAATAATTTTTTGAGCTAGCAAGAATAATTTTTCAGGGACTAGAAATTTTCAATTATCTAACAATTATTATGCAGGGCTCATGACAATAATTTCAAACCCTTCTGTTTCGCATGATTTCTCTTTCGTAGAGATGTCTTGGGGTAGGAATTTAGGTGGGAATTTATAGAAGAGAAAACAAAATTGAGACAAAAATTCTAGGCAAGTTCATACAAGCAGCTGAATCTTAGTCTTAGACAAACATGTGATGCCATTGTTCAAAATAGTTGGAAAAATTTTGTTTTTTAATGAGCTAATTAATACTTTTAAGTCATCAACACTTCCTTTGTTTATCGTATCACTAGTGTTAATCTCGTGATTTGCACAGGTTGATAAGGAAATATGCGTCTTTCTAGGAAGGAAATCGTTGCTTTTTTTCCTGCTAATTTGTGTCGACATTCAAAAGAAAATGTAATGAGATGACTAATTGTGTTATATACTCTTGCGCCATTCATCGTATTCTCAAGATCTGCGTTTCCTTGTTATTAGTTTACATTAATTACTCATTAATTTGATTCAGTCTTCCATCCTCTCTTAGACTTTATTTCCATTAGATAAATTAATACTCCCTTCATCCGAAAATAAACTTCTCATTCTACGAATGAATATAATAGAGTTTAATCATATCAAAAGCCTCAGCATCCATTCCATCAGTAGGGGTATAATTGTCAAATAAATTTGAAATGAAGAAAAAATGGTAGAGAACAAAATGGGGTTTCTGCAAAAATGAGGGGTTCCATCTTACTACTACTTGCTACTCTATCTCCTGTTGAGCTTCTTCATTTCACTCTCATCTCAATATCTCATCTACCATATTTTTTTCTTCTTATTTTTATACAATATATATTTATTTGTTATTATATTTAAATATATTGAGTGATGATACACACACACACATATATATATATATATATATATTAATGGTATGCTGAAACCCTTATGTGTAGTCCATTTGGTGCTTCAACTCTTGGAAACTTCATTAGCTTGTCTCCCCCCACTTCTTCCCATCTGCAATATTTAATAAATAATAATAATAATAATAATAATAATAATAATAATAATAATAATAATAATAGTAGTAGTAGTAATAGTAGTAGTACCAACCTATATCTAGTAACAAAGTAGTGAAGGAAAGTGGATATTTCAGCAATTCCAAGTTCCTTTCCAGGACAATGCCTAGTTCCTCCTCCAAACAAAAGAAAGTTATTTTGGCTCTCTAATCCTTTTTCCTGCATTTTTATAATTCATTTTAAAACCCCTTCAATAAAAAAAAGTCACTTTTTGTAGGCAATCAAATTCTTTTCTTATTTACTACTTACCATCCATCTCCATGGATTAAAAGCGTATGGGTCCGGGTAAAGTTGAGGATCATAATTAACCTCTCTTGTATACACATATATTCTCCATCCTTTTGGTATAAAATAACCTGCACAAAACATATAAATAAATAAATAAAAACCCTAATAATGCTTTATTTTGAAATTATTAAAGAACTGTTCGGTAGTGTTCCCCTTTTTGCGAAACTTCCCTTCTTGCACACATAAATATTGTTTAGGTTTAAATGTGTGGTTTTACTCTCTCTCTCTGTCTCTCACACACACACACTTTGGGATGTGGCTTAACATTTAGGCACCATGACCCAAGGAGGGTATACTTGGGATTTCACATCCACTTCCCCAAACTACTACGGGCATCTTTAGGAATATAATAAAGGCGTTTAATTTGATATTAGCAGTAACGTTTTAGATAAAATTTTAACTATGCAGATTACTTTGAAAACGCTAACGCTAATCTCTAACGTTATTTCCAAACGGACCCTATATACTGAACAATTTATTTCATTTTTTTGGCCCATGTGGATATATATAATTCATTTACACTTTTCTTTTATCATGCAAAGAAAATAGTGGTTCATCAAGATAGTTGTTCATGTCCATCTCTTTTGGCTTGATCCTAAATATTTGCAAAAATAAAAAAACGTTAATCCAAACAAACCGTTAAGTTCCATGTCCCTAGTTGTCTTCCTCAAGACTCCGTTTACTATTGTGGCTAGCCGAGAAGTCTCAAAGATCACCT